TCAATCAATCATCAATCAATCAATCATCAATCAATCAATCATCAATCAATCATCCTTCAATCAATCAATGAATGAATCAATCAATCAATCTTGTTTTTTTTTTTTTTTTTTTTTGGTTCATACCGACCCCACCCCCCCCCAAAATACTAATAATAATAGTTCTTTTCCATCTGAGGGGTGGCCCCATACATGTGTTAACCCCCCCCCGCTGGAAGGCCTTCATTTGTGCTCGAACGGTCGATCATACGGGTCATACGACCGCTGAAGGGGCTGTTCGTACGACCATTCAAACGTACAAACGACCCGTTTTTATACGGGGTTATACACAGATCTGTAATATAGTTATGCGGGCGTAGCCCGCACCGCGCGCGCCGCGGGTGCTAAGCTAGTCCTCCATTATAGCCCGACGCGCTCCCCACCCGCCCGAGGTCCTGTTCAAATCTCGACTGGGTAATTGTTATCCTTCCCCAGGTCCTTATCAAAGCTTTTGTTTTTCACAAATGGAAAGATAACGACTGTGAACGCGATTTTTCAATTTTCAACTTTCCAAGATAACGAACGTGAACGCGATCTTTAGCTTTCAAAATTGGGAAGAAAAAAAAAACATGAACAAGGGGAATTGGACACCCGGGAAACAACGGGTCGAAGCAAAACTGAAGCGAATCAAATAGGAAGACAGTGCGCCTTCCTATTGGGAGGGTCACCTTGTGAAATCATTGAGCTGATCTACGGTCCTCTTGTGCTGCCCAGCCAGCTGCCCGCACCGCGTTCATCTTTGAGAAGTAACATTCCATTAAAAATGCCCTTAGGCCTGTCCCCGGCCACCGATCGTGCCAATCCGACCGCTGCCACCTGTTTTCACAACCCTGCCCTGATGCACAGCTAACCATGGCCCTGGCCCCCATGGCCAATGCGCTCTAAGGGGTAGGGGAAAAGAAAAACTCTCATGAGTTGTGACCAGGATGTGCCTGCCAGGTTCCTTGTTCTGTGGTGCCTCTGACAGTCATTTGCCTGGGAAACGTGACTCGTAGGCATTCACAGTCGTAGTGTTCTAATCTATGTTGTGCACCCACATCGCCATTCAGAGGGGAGGGAGTCCATGTGGCCACTCTGCGCCCCATTGCTATGAACTTGGTTGTCTGACAATTTGGTTGCCGCTCTCACTCAGAAGAACTCACACACGGCCATACATGCATGAGACAAAGGGGAGAAGGAGACAAGGTCCAACTGCACACAGATCAGAGATAAACAGCGGAATAGCAATTATGCACTGAAGGGGAGAATACACTCAGTGTTTCTCTCTCCCTGACACACTCCCAACAACCAATCACAATTGACACTGCGAAGATCACAATTGGAAAGTAACC